CATTTATTTAAAAGTCTATTTAATTAAGTAGAACGTGTTGTCTATATTTATTTAAAGTTGCGCATTTTGATGTGACATCACATTTCTCAACCCCCCCCCTCGTCACACATCGTCACAAATGTCTGACCCCCTCCCCCACCTAGGTGCGTGACGTCATTTATGGACGGGCCCCCAAGCATAATGCATCGCACCATGCTGCTGTGTTGTATACACCATCACTCACCATTGTCTATTCACTGCTGAATGAGGGCCTCTGTACGCTGTCACCATCCATCACGGTCCAGTGCTAGAACCATCCGTCTCGCTCCTGCACGTGGACTGATCTCATCGCTCAATCTCCACGGTGTTCGGACTCTGGGACACGTTCTCTCCTTTGGCTGCCATTCCATCATTAATCTCGTTCATCAGCAATAGTCATGTCTAGCCACGTGTCATGCAGTAGCCCATTTTATTTTCTTAACTGTCAATGTGTCTGTGATTTGTGTTTTTTTCCCCCCTGATGCATGTGTTTCCTTGTTATATACACACACAAAGTATTAATATAATAGCTCCAACAATCTGAAAACAAGATCACGTATGCTGTGGCTTTACTTCACAATTACAGACAATGGTGCAAATAAAATAGGATCTTTAACACGTAGGCTTTCACGACCAGTATAATCCATAATGCAGGGTTTTGTTTGGGTTAGATAGCGTAAATATATAAATGTGTCTTCAAACCCGCCACCACGCGACACATGTACAATGTTGCGGCTTTGCTTTCCAACACACCGATGTGCTATACTGGTAACGAATTGGCACGTTCTGTTCACGTGATAAACCTTACTAAATTGCCTGTGTCGGGTGGTGGCGGGTTTAACGACGCATTTATATATTTACACGATCTAACAAAAAAACCAACAACCCACTGCATTACGGATAAAATAGGGTATTTACGTGTTTGCTGGGATTTCTTTTGTTATCGCACTAAAAGGGAAATGCTGTTGTGATGTTTCGGGAATATCGTTGTTCAGAGCGAGTGTTAAATTATAACTATACCGAAATGGAAAGGTGGGATGTAGCGATTGGCTCCCCAAGCGATGTAATTAATTGTTTCTATGCATTGTAGCGCCTCTAGCGGCTCCATGAGTCAAGTGAATCAGTTGCATATGGTATTCAAAACGTCATTTGCACGCGCAATTGACACGTGAGTTTATGAATCGACTTTCATCGTAAAATCTATGCGTAGTCACATTGCCTTCCAGAAAGTAATTAATTCGTGCTGCACTCCATATAGACGCGCAATCTTGAAGTGGGCTTGGGCAGGCCACGTCACGAGATGGACCACATGGTACCAGACACCTGGGATCACGTACATTGCAGAGATGGAGCGATGGAATTATCTCGAATTCAGGAGCTTGATGGACTGTTGCATTGCAGGACCGCGATATGGGAGCAGCGGTGGAGGAGGACTTGTCACGTCCGATAATGACGATTAAATGTTGAATGAAGATTTGCTAAGTAGTACATTACACTGTCTTTACATAATGGGGGGTGGCCTATATTCCATGCCAAGTCATTCATATATGTAGCTTAGACCCTGCCTGGCAAGGGAGGGTGGGTGCCAAGTCCACTCGATGGTGTCAGCAATTGTAACGGACGAGCAGAACTGGCAAAGCACATTCAAGGGCTGAGCATCCTCCCGTGACACGATCAGCTCAGAGCCATGCTCATGTTTGGACTGTGTGGAGCGTAGCCGGCCATATTTGGGGCACTGACGTGGCTGTGGTATTTAGAAAATCCCACCCGTAAATTTCCTACCCCAGTATCTTATTGTAGTTTGCGCTGTTTTGAGTGCCCCCAAACTAGACAGAGTGCCACTGACACTGGAGGTTTGAGAAGGTGGTGCCGTAAAATAAATGCGTGTTTTGTTTTTACAAAACTGTTTTAAAAATTGTTGCACACTCACGACTCAGGATCGCTCTTGAATTTACTTATTCCTGCTCGGACGTACGGATCAGAAACGTGGAAACTGACAAATAATATAGAATAAAATCTGAAAAGTGTGTAAAGAAGGAAGCACGGGGACATGGCATGCTTGGAATTACACTGAGAGACTGAAGGAGGAAAAGCAGTCGACAGCGTATGCATGCTAAAGACATGATTAAAATTGTTAATAAATGTAAGTGGGCTTGGCCAGAACACATCATGACTGGAATAAATAATGGCTGGTGGTTGACATTAATGACAGAGTGGCAGCCAAATGAGAGAACACACCAGAGGGGATGTGGAATGCAGAGATGGAGCGATCATAGCTCACGTGCAGGAGCTCGATGCGTTGTTGTATCAAGAGATCGAGAGATGGCGACAACTCAAGATGGCCTTCACCCGGCAGTGAACAGATCATGGCTGATGCTGATTTGACTAGAGAATAATTTATTTTCAACACATTTTGGTGAATAGAGCACATCTCGTGGATGCAAAGGTGATGTAAACTCTTTTCAAATACGAATAAAAAATATTGATCCTTACACGTGTGATTCCATGAGCTTAGGAACTGATATAAATTAATCAATAAATTATTTGTTACACTCCTAGCAAAATAATGAGCATCCTCGTAAATTATATGAGTTCACTATCCGCTATGATCTTTCCACTGCTGGATGAAGGCCACCCTGTACCATCCCTCGTGATGCCAAAATCCCTCTGCTCAGTGATTGAGTTCACTCGACAGATTTTTTTTACTTTTCGATTTCTTTAATCCATCGACCATGGAAGTCCGACTGTTGATTTTGACTCAACGTAATGCAGTTATCCCACACTGACAGCCAAGTGGCTTCAATACATTAATTGAACACAATGCCAGTGTAAACAGACTGGAGGTCATTTGATTTGGTAATCTGGCTCGACACACAATTTCACACGGCTCTTTTTTATTGAAAGTTTTCTCAGGCTTGGCTTATAAAAATGACGAAAAGTATTCACATGTGACTTCCCAAAGTTGTGCTCTCCCATACGATCCAATGCGCCGGGTTCACAATTCGAGTCCTTCGGAACCCTCGTACGATCCACAATTCACGTTCACCAACATTTCCCATCGACAGTCAGATTTAAAATAAAATAAAAACCCATCACCTCGGATTGGTTCAGCTCAGAGACCTTGAATTGTTCAGCAATTCGCATCAACCACAGTCACCTTACACCAGCCAGACGAAAAAAAGCTATACAACCGCAGTAAATGGGGTACAATGTGGGCACCCAAATCCCCCGGCCAGCGTGGAGAGGTTATCCCAAACGTCTGGGTTAAAAATGCCATCGTTTTCCGCAGTAAACTAACGTAGACATATACAGCCATTTGTTAATCCACTGCTTGCTCGATGAAGGCCTCAAGGCGCCATGTGGGGCGGGGGAGTTGTCTGACCATACTTCACCACGCGAGGTGGTGTGGTTTACGGGGGGGGGGGGGATCCTAGGACGGGTTCAGATATCACTCGCCGATTGTAGCCATATGTGGCCGGGTTCATAGAGCAGTGCACAAACCACTGCGCCACTGCTCATCCCCAAGACATGTACGTTCTGTATTACTCTACTTAATTTTTTCTCAACTAAAAGTTCCAATCATTGAGTGGGACTGACTGCTCGCAATTTCTTTCTCCACGTTACCGCCCCGCGTTAAATTGCAAGCGCTGGGAGCTGTGTGGTGGGGTTCCTAGGGGACTGGAGTTTGAGCCGCGGGGCCTCCGTGAGCACTCGAACACGCGCAGAGTTTGTGGACTCCGCTCGTGTACGGGTCGATCGCACTGACGTCACAACAAAATATACCCATTCAGTGTTTTAACGTCGCATAGGTGACCCAGCTCTGTGTTCGTCACGAACGCATGAAACCTTAGACGGGGCTTTGTTGCTCACGGCGTACTTCACTGGTCGCTGGAATACCAGAAGGTGGCACGTGACGAGTAGCCACTGCCATAGCGGGGGGTATACTGGACGTGGTGTGCCGGGTGTGAACATATTGTCAGTGGTTGCCGATGTGTTCCGACCCGGCTGAAATTAAAGCCACATCAGAAAGGTTGTTACTGGGGTTAGAGGTTCACACGAAAGATGCAATCCAATTCTTTTCGCATCCTAATGTCTCCTTTGTACCATAATACAATTCGATAACTACAACATTCTGTACCTTTCATTTTATTTTTTTACATCCCCTTTGTCAATCAACTGCTGGATGAAGACCTCTCCACACCATGTCGATCATGGTGTATTTAAACTTACTTCACCACGCTGGTTCATGTAAGTTGGTGAAGGGGTGCACTTGACACGATCAGATATCACTAGCCACTGATGTCAGCCATTGTCAGGAATCGAACTCAGGGTAGCGAGTTCATAGGGCAGTGCGCTAACTGTTGCACCACAGCTCCGTCACCTACTCCGAGACAATTTTTAGTGGAACGGATGAATCGCTGCCATCTGGAAAATATCCCTTTGCAAGGAAATGTGAATCTCAAGGGTTAGTCCTAGTCACATAAAGTATCTCAACAATGTTTTTGGTTACTTAAAAGATTCATAATAAAATTGCGTCTTATCATGTGTGGAACATCCAACAGAGGCAGAAAATAAAATATGAATTTACCCTTTGGCACAAGTGCTGTTGTAGAGCACATTTTAAGACTGACCAGCACAGCACACAAGGTGGTGATTTGCCTAGAAGCGGGCATGCCTGATCACCTTTGTCTCCCCAATTTGCTGATGTCAACTTGGAGGATGAAAGGTTCAGTTAGTAATTGCCACTGGTTATCATCCACGGACAGCTATGGCACGTGACGACGCATCGGCTCATCTCGTTACATCGATTATTACCCATAATATAGGTTTTTTTTGGGGTTATATCGCATAAATATAAATGTGTCATTAAACCCACCACCCGACACAGCCAAATAGTAAGGTTCTCAGATTGTAAATGTTGTGGATTTGCTCTCCAACACACCGGTGTGCTGTACTAGTAACGACTTGGCATGTTCTGTTTACACCTTACTAATTGGCCGTGTCGGGTGGTGGCGGGTTTAACGACACATTTATATTCATGCGATCTAAACCAAAACACCTCGATTATGGATGATATTGGTCGCAAAAGCCTACGTGTTAAATCGATAATCACGCTCACAATACATGCATCCAGTCACGCACGTTATCATTGAATTGAAATCATATTGATTTCAATTCAATGATAATTTGTAATCGGTTTACGTGAACTCGCGTAGGTACTGGGGGTGCCATAATTCTGTACAGTATTCACCACTGTAAAACGTATTATTGAATCGAATCCTGACACTTAATAATGAAAATAATTGAATCGTGAATGGGGAAAAATGCCTACACAGGAGTGCAGTACGCTAACCACTACGACAAACACTCACCACAATGTGTATACATATCTTCATATAAAATACACGCAATGTTATTTGTGAATAGTACCGTTAAGCTGCATGTCTGTTAATAATTTAACCACGGCTGATGACTATTCGATAGAATGCCCACGACTACTTCGAGCTTGCATCCACAGGATGGCTTTTTGAAAAAAGTAAAAGCAGATGCAACCAGGCTTCACGAACCCCAAAGTTCACACATGAGCTGTGCAAAATAATTAAGCGCAGTTAATACAAATGCAGTGGTTTTTCTCTCTCTTGGTCTCTCTTGATGTCTCTCTCTCTCTCTGTAAGACGAGGAGAACCTCCAACGCGGCTCCATTCCATGCAGGCGGTGCTTCTCGGCTGGCTGGGATGAGGCTCCATGACCCCTGACCCCCATGGCCCGATACTATTAATGTGCCCTCCTAATATGAATAATTGCCACGTATTTGCCCAAGAGTTACCGTAATCTCTAGCTTATGAGACACACCACCAACCCCCTCGCCTCGCATTTTAAGGTTTTGTCTTATAATCCCGTCGGTGTGTGTGCGCGCGATCATATTTGTGTGACTTTATTGATACTGGGCACATGTTTCGGGTGTGCCTTATTTTCTGGAGTGTCTTACATTCCATAAAATACGGCAATTATCTTATACGGCACGAAGTAGGGTATCTTTGTCTTGTGTATGTGTGTTACATACATAGACATGACTGTGACTTCTTCTTGGAGTCCCTTGGCCTTTGGAGCTACTGCTTGCCATGACTCCTCCCCTTCCCCGACGCTTCCTTGCAGTGGGCCTCTCCACTTCTCTCTGGGCCATCCCCTGCGTCGTTCAAACGGAGACAGCTTCAATCCCGTCCAGTGTTTGATGCTGTGGCCCACCGTGACGGAATACTATAATAATGCCAGTGGAGTTAAAATGTTGCCACTAATACAGTCAAGCCTATGCTTAAAACTATTAAAATCTGAAACCAATTGTTTTATATTACCCCTCCCACCAAAAAAAATCGGGCCCAGAACTTATTTAGTTTCACTTATAGGGAGGTAAAGCCTAACGCTGCTAATCACTTTAAAGTCCAAGGCTAGATGCTTACTGATATATCATCCCTGTCATCAGTAAACCGAGTAATTCATTTTCCGTGGAGTGTGACGCTGAATCTGGGAGCAATTGGACAGAGCCCACTCGTGGTTGCTCGTACCGGACTACATGAAGTGATTTTTGTTGTTGTTGTTGTTAGACACGTAATGAACCAGGCCATTAATGTGATCAAGCGACATACGAACGACGCATAACTACACCCAGTGGTCGACAGTGCAGAGACCTCCCCCAGCTGAGGGAACTTGTATTCGGGAGCGGGGTTAGGGTGGGATTGGGATCAGGTGTGAGAGGGAGATCAAGATGAGAGTAGGATCAGGGTAGCAGTGCAATCAGGGTGGGAGTAGGATTAGGGCGAGATTGAGATCAGGATAAGATTGAGATCAAGGTGAGACTGAGCTCAGGGTGTGAGTGAGATCGTGGTTGCGCGTGAGATCGGGGTTGCGAGTGCGATCGGGGTTGCGAGTGGGATCGTGCCTGTGAGTGGGATCGTGGTTGTGATAAGAATTGTGGCTGTGAGTGGGATTGGGGTTGTGAATGGGATCGTGGCTTGAGTGGGATCAGGGTTGTGAGTGGGATCATGGCTTGAGTGGGATCATGCCTGTGAGTGGGATCGTGGTTGTGAGTGGGATCGTGGTTGTGAGTGGGATCGTGATTGTGAGTGGGATCGTGGTTGTGAGTGGGATCGTGGTTGTGAGTGGGATCGTGGTTGTGAGTGGGATCGTGGCTTGAGTGGGATCGGGGTTGTGAGTGGGATCGGGGTTGTGAGTGGGATCGTGGCTGTGAGTGGGATCGTGGTTGCGAGTGGGATCGTGGTTGTGAGTGGGATCATGCCTGTGAGTGGGATCGTGGCTGTGAGTGGGATCGTGGTTGTGAGTGGGATCGTGGTTGTGAGTGGGATCGGGTTCGACAGTGTCACGGTGGGCTGTGTGGACTGTGCACTTCATTTCGTCTCTCGATCTCGCATCGTCGCTGCTCAGTCGTCATCCCAGCTCGTCCAGTGGAAGCGCGGCCCCAGGTCCAGCTTCACCTTCTTGCCCTGCCGCAGGCTGCCGCTGGCGCTCGCATTGTGCTGAGTCTGCAGGCTGACCTGCAGGCCCGAGCTGAGCAGAGGGTGCGTCGGGCCCGACGTCAATGACAGGATGTCCTGTGTCGGCAGGAAACACGAAGGGTGGGACGGGGGAAGGGGGGCACACAGAAGGGGCGATTGTATTTGGGGCGCGGAAAATTCACTCCACATTTTGCGCTCGGCCGTTTTACGGCACGGGTGGGGGAACGTTTCCCTCACCGAGGCCCAAATACAACTTTCAAATGGCTTTGGCGTGCCAGGGATTAGCAGGCGATAATAATAGTATTAAGAACGCGAAAAATTGGTTGCTCGTCGGCCGAGTGCGAGGAGGCCCTTGCAGTGACAGAAGTGGATGAGCGAGATAAAATCAGCAACAGATCGTTACCAGTTCAAAAATGCTTCCACTCTAGAATTTTATTAATAAAGAAAAATTACATTTGCAAAGGCGCATCTCACCCGTAGAACCCAACGCGCTATGGATGGAAAGCAGTAAAAAAACCAGAACCTTCAGGGCAAACGACCAGGGGGAAAAGGCCAGTTTCAAGAGGTGAGTTTGCAAGAAAGACTTGAACATTGCTGACGATACTTCCGATTGTCTTATCAGCAAAGGGAAAGCGTGCCAAAGCTAAAGGAGCTGCATTGGCAAAAGGCCGATCACCCCTAGGAAAGGACGAGCGCAGGTAAGGTGCTTGCAGTGATGGCTATATTATCCATAATATATAAATGTGTCGTTAAACCCGCCACCACCCGACACAGCCAACTAGTAAGGGTTGTCACGTAAACAGAACGTGGCCAATTCGTCACTAGTGCAGCACACCGGTGTGTTGGAGAGCCAAGCCACAACATTTACAATCTGAGTACGACGTTTTGCCGCTAATTACAACTAGCTTCATCAGGCGACAGCCAGACTTGTGGAGAAATCCTCCTGTTTCGTTCCTTAGAGGCATAGATGTGATGACGTCACTTGTGCACCCTTGCGCGAAGTGGGGAGGGGGGGTGGGATTAATGAATGCATATAAATTACAATGGGTTAGCATTGTCATTCGGGTTATGTATATGGTTATCAACGCACATTACGCATGCGCATTATGCAAGCCCATTGTTCTTGCACTGAACTAGCCGTACCAATGGTATATTACCATCGCGGGCTACTTCGACAGGGTAGCACTCATGTGGTCGTGGGCCATGGGAAATGAAGTTTCGGAGCATATGCAGCCCATCGGCTGCAAATTCCCCAACTTGTGTTTTACGGCAACTATCGGCTGTGTGTGAATATACCGGCCCCAGCAGCTGCACTGGGTGCAATGAACACAGCAGGCACAGGTGGGACATTTTCTCGTACTGAAACCTCAGGTTTGGTGACATTATACATCAAAATCTCCGTGAGGAAGACGAAACAGTACGGTGGGCAGGAGTTTTGTCCAATCGTGTCACGAGTTCCAATCACAACGTGTGTGCCAATCACGCCACATTGTACCAATTGTGCCACACGTACCCATCGCGGCATGTATAACAATCATGAGTACAATCATGGTACTGTACGTGTACCAATCATGCCATCTCTACTGATCGTGTCGCACGGATAGGGCCGTGTGCAACAATCACGCCACACGTGCCAGTCGTGCCGTGCGTACCCGTTAATGCCGTGTGGACCGATTTCGCTGCAAGCGCAAATTCCGCCGTGCGCTGCCGACCCGCGGCTACGTGTGCCGATCGTGTGCCGATCGAGTCGCGAGCGATGACTTTGCCCCGCGCGCCAACTGAGCGTGCCGCAAGGGGCCATACGGGGCACGGCGCGCACCTGGAGCCCTTGCACCACGCTCTGGATGCCGTCGCCGCTGCCGGACGAGTGGCCCGAGCTGGAGTCGCGGCGCAGCCTGCGCCCCCGGGCCTCGTTGCTGAGGCTGAAATTGCAGGACACCTCGGCGCTGTTCGTCTCCGCCGTGTGCGACTCGAAGTAGGACTCGCGCGAGAGGCTCATGGCCAGCGGCACGTAGAGCTGCGCCGGGGGCGACAAAACAAAAACAGCCAAAAACGAAGGTGAACGGCGCCGTCCAACGCGGCAGCGAGGCATTGCCGTTGGCGTCGCTGTCGCCTGAGCGCCGGCGAATTTGGATTCTCGTGACGAAAACCTGGGGGGGGGCGGGGGCGGGGGACTCTGGCGATTTATTTTCCACTGCAAAACTACCGCGTGCTGGCGGGGTAACCGTGACAACACCGTACGTCACGTGCGCGTGCGTTGTGACGTAGCGTGGCTACGTTGTATGTACGTGTGGCCGTTCACATGTTGACCTCGTCTCCAAGTCTCTACATTCCTTTGTTTCTATTCCTTTCATCTCATTAAACTGAACCTTACATTTCGACTTGAAGCTTTCGTGACTGCAAGGATTCATCTTCTTTGGTTCTTTCGGTAAAGTCACGTAGAATGAGAATAACATAATAAAATAACACAATAAAATTCTCACGACGTTTCGGCCACAACGCAAGCGGCCGTCTTCAGGTGAAAGGTACAGAACTGTCGGGACGCTTGCGTTGTGGCCGAAACGTCGTGAGAATTTTATTGTGTTATTTTATTATGTTATTCTCATTCTACGTGACTTTACCGAAAGAACCAAAGAAGATGAAACTGAACCTTGTCTTCGGATCTCTCATTTCTTGTTTTTTTCTCTCTCTCTTATCTCACCAATCTGCATCTCTACGTCTCAGTGAGCCGCATCTCTTAGCGGCTCCAATAACCTTCGGAGGCCACATCTGGCCCATGGGCCACAGCTGAAGAACTCTGGGCTTGAGAATCTAGGGTGGAGCAGTTCGGTGGATTCATGATCCTACTGCAATCACCGATTCACTCAATTCACTCAATTCACTAGTTCATCGCTTCCTTGGTCGCTCTTTCATTGCTCCCATCACAGTCGAGGACTCTTGACGAGGTGAACGATTGGTGGCAGCGCGGGAGGTTGAATAGGTGGAGGCACCAGTTTGGTAAGGTCGGAAGGGGTGTGGATTTGAGGACAATGAGATACCTAGGCACGTGGGTAGAACCCACAATTTACGTATTTGTGTTGGCTAATAAGAGAATTAGCAGGTGCCGTGAGTGGGGGGGATAATTAAATTCACTGAATGTGCATTTCGATTGTACAAAGAAGAAGCGTGAGTAGCGAGGGAGACAACAACAACGTGGCAACTTTCACAGTAACAGCAGCAGCAGCAGAGCTGTCGAGCTGTGGCAAACACCCAGAAGGGCTGCCTGAGGTGAGCCTCCTGCAGGAGAGAGGCTGGACGAGGCCAAATGCCGCAAATGACGAAGCCAGCAAGCAGCAGCAGCTCCACGTTGGAGCGATTCGGGGGTAGCTGCACGAGCCCAGGTACCGGCGTGCGTGGGGGAGTTCGCGGACAGCTGTGGAAATGTACGACTGGGCCTCCCCTAGGTCGACTCGGCCTCAAATGAGTACCTGGTGCGGTGCGTAAACACCGTCAATCGGGAGACAAAGGCGGCCGGGTGTGGTGCTGGCCACCGACCCCCTCGTGGCGCCGTGCCGGCCTTCATAGGTGCTGCTACTCGCTAAGAGGAATTGTCTCAAAAGTCTGCTCAGGCTCTGCTGAACAGATTGTCTCTCTCTCTCTCAAATTTAGCAATCTTTGGAAGAACGTAATCAACCAGGTAGGGTGTTGACTGTTGTGTTGGCCGACTCTCTGTGTTGTATCGCATTATATTTCTTAGTTTACTAGGTTGGTTTTCTCTTTCATTTGTACCTGATGATGATTGCTCGTGTTGCAATCGAAACGTCGTATGCTATTATTTAATTTATTTTTCTTTCTACGTGACTTTACCGAAAGAACCAAAGAGTAATTCCTGCAGTCACGAAAGCTCCAAATCAAGTGTTCTGCTGGGGATCTTTGTGTCCACGTGCTGTCATCCTCCCACGTGACGTTGACAAGGCTGTCCGTGAAAACCCGCGGCTGTCTTTTGCCCTCGTGGTCTCGCGCAGGTCGCGCTCTGTTCCCCTGCATCACTCAGTCTTCTCGTGATTTAGTTTTTAATAATAATACAAAATAGTGTTTATTTAATCAAAAAGGACCACGCGTCTTCTCGTGATGGCGTTTTTAATAATAATACAAAATAAAGTATTTAAAAAAACTAAAATAAAGTATTTTTTAAAAAACGACATCACTCGTCTTCTCGTGATTTAGTTTGTAATAATTAAAAGTATTTTTGTGGATTTTCTTGCACCCGATCTTCTTCCCCCCCCCACATCCCCTATTTTGCCGGGATGGGATTTGTACTTCCAGGCATTTATGTAAAGTGCTTTGCTCTGCTGTGGCATTTAAGTGCCGAATAAATGTTCACCCTGACGCATACATGCTGATCATACTCAACATTTAAACATGACATTGCTCAATTAAAGACGCTGTAGCCGATGAGGGGTTTGTGTCCATGAACACGGGAATATATTTTAACTAGTAACTATTTAAAGTAATATCGCCGTTGTTTTGTGACACAGTTGCTCCGATTTAAATTTGCGTCATTCCTGTACGGTTCGTTGTTCTCGTCATTTCGCTGATTCTGGTCGCTCTCTTGCCGCGTCAACAAAATGAACTTGAAACTCGTCGCCCCTCGCGTGCTCATCCAAGTCGCCTCGTGTCCAAACCCCGTCGGCCGCAGCCCCTCCACGCGGTACGGACGACTCGCTCTGTCCCACCTCAACGTCTGCGGCGTCGCCTCGGCTCCACCCTGAGGCTCTCAGCCCTCGCTACCTGTCGCCTCGCACGCCCCCACCCCCCCCCCCCACTAGTGTAACGGTGACAGCGTGCCCCCCCACTAGTGTAACGGTCGCAGCGTGCCCCCCACCCCCCCACTAGTGTAACGGTGGCAGCGTGCCCCCCCACTAGTGTAACGGTGGTAGCGTGCCCCCCACCCCCCCCACTAGTGTAACGGTGGTAGCGTGCCCCCCCCACTAGTGTAACGGTGGCAGTGTGCCCCCCACTAGTGTAACGGTGGCAGTGTGCCCCCCACTAGTGTAACAGTGGCAGCGTGCCCCCCACTAGTGTAACAGTGGCAGCGTGCCCCCCACTAGTGTAACGGCGGCAGCGCGCCCCCCACTAGTGTAACGGTGGCAGCGTGCCCCCCACTAGTGTAACGGTGGCAGCGCGCCCCCCACTAGTGTAACGGTGGCAGCGTGCCCCCCCCCCCCCCCACTAGTGTAACGGTGGCAGTGTGCCCCCCCACTAGTGTAACCGTGGCAGCGTGCCCCCCACTAGTGTAACGGTGACAGCGTGCCCCCCCCCACTAGTGTAACGGCGGCAGCGTGCCCCCCCACTAGTGTAACAGTGGCAGCGCGCCCCCCACTAGTGTAACGGTGGCAGCGTGCCCCCCACCCCCCCCACTAGTGTAACGGTGGCAGTGTGCCCCCCCACTAGTGTAACAGTGGCAGCGTGCCCCCCACTAGTGTAACGGTGACAGCGTGCCCCCCCCCACTAGTGTAACGGCGGCAGCGTGCCCCCCACTAGTGTAACGGTGGCAGCGTGCCCCCCACCCCCCCACTAGTGTAACGGTGGCAGTGTGCCCCCCCACTAGTGTAACAGTGGCAGCGCGCCCCCCACTAGTGTAACGGTGGCAGCGTGCCCCCCACCCCCCCACTAGTGTAACGGTGGCAGCGTGCCCCCCCCAATAGTATAACGGTGGCAGCGTGCCCCCCCCACTAGTTTAACGGTGGCAGCGTGCCCCCCCCACTAGTGTAACGGTGGCAGTGTGCCCCCCCACTAGTGTAACGGTGACAGCGTGCCCCCCACTAGTGTAACGGTGACAGCGTGCCCCCCACTAGTGTAACGGCGGCAGCGTGCCCCCCACCCGGCGAGCTACCGGAGTGAAGCTGTCCTGCTCGCGGAGTCGCTGCTCCCACATCTCGAGCCGCCGCTCGCGCTCGCGCAGCTCCTCCTCCTTGCTGCTCAGGTCTCGCTCCAGCTCCTTGAGTCGCTCCAGCTTCGCGTCGATCTCTCCCCTTTGCAACGCGGGGGGCACACGCGGGGGGCACACGTGGGGGGGCACACGTGGGGGGCACACGCGTGGGGGGCACGCGGCGAGGTTGGACGACGCCGGTGGCGGTGATTGAGAGGTATCGGTGGCACGGCGGGCGGTGCGCCGCGTGCTGCCAACCCCGGCCACCCGAGTTTGATCCCCGCAACACCAAGTGTACGTAAACGTCGGCAACGGGTGAAACAAAGGTGGCCGGGCATGGTACTGGACACCTACCCCCTCGTGCTGGCCTTAATAGGTGGCTACTCGCTCGCAACACTTGCCTAAAAATTATATTAAGGCAATATGGGGGGGGGGGGGGGGGTCTTTATTTTTGACTTTGGCACTGGTAGTTGAGTGGCGGTGGTGGCGGTGGTGGCGGTGGTGGCGGTGGTTGTCGTGAACCAAACACACCTGGGCCTGCCCGGTCACCTCGAGCGAGCTTTCGACACTTTACGTGGCCTGGCCTGGCCAGGCACAGGCGCCGTGTTGATGTCAACGTCACTTAGTGGCGAATGGAAGTTGTTGTTGTTGGTAGTGGTTGTGATGCTGGTGGTGAAATTGGTGGTGTGGCTATGGCCGTGTTGGTGATCGCCGTAATAGACGTGGTGGTGGCGGCAATAGTGGTGATGGTGGCGGTTGTAATATTGGAAAAAATTGGAGTGGCGGTGGTTGTGATATTGGTGGTGATGCCAGTTGTAGTGATGTTGGTTCGTGGTGGCAGAGGTGGCTCAACCAATCGCCGCACATCCCAATTGCGTCGCGTCACAAGGTGAATTCACGTCACAAGGTGAATTCACGTCACAAAACATGAGAGGGTGCCCTTCCATGCTTTGCGACGGAGCATTTTCCCACTTGTCGGTCGCGTGGCGTCTCGTCGGCCAAGCCTGAATCAAGTGAACATCTTTTAAGTTGCAAAACGCCGCGTGATCGTCACACTCCAACGAAGGGCAGTCTCGCTGGGTGCCCGGGGTGGGAGCGGGTGGCCCCCGTCTCGCCCCCCCCCCCCACCCAGTGCCCTACCGCGTGCGGACCTCACCTCCACTCAGCCTTGTTGTGCAGGAAGCAGTTGCACTGCTTTGGGAGTCGACTGTCGTTGAGCATGGCTTCGAGCGCCTGCAGGACCTCCTTGAAGTGTGGGCGGCGCTGCGGAGAGGACACCAATAGGCTGTCAACCCATCGCGGTTTATTTCCCCGTATTCTTGTGCAGGGAAATTGAGTTTTCAGGTCCATACGGTGTGCGGCTGTTTCAATACGGGCACAACATTTATTTTTATTTAGTAACGTTAATTTTGTCTTTGTTTTTGTGTTTCTCGCTTGTGATGGGACTTTGTAGGATGAACGTTGATATTTATGAAGGCACGGGGTGACCAATAAGGTCTGACTTGGTCTGTAATAAGGTTGACAGGGGTTGACAGCTGTGGGATACGCGAATGATTTAACAAAAGCGGTGGCGGACGGACGGATAAATCTTACGAAAGCCATCGCTTGGTATGAGATTGCCGAGTGGTGGCGTGAGATTGTCCCGTGGTGACGTGAGATTGCCGAATGGTGGCGTGAGATTGCCCCGTGGTGACGTGAGATTGCCCCGTGGTGGCGGGAGATTGCCCCGTGGTGGCGTGAGATTGCCTCGTGGTGGCGTGAGATTGCCCCGTGGTGACGTGAGATTGCCTCGTGGTGACGTGAGATTGCCTCGTGGTGACGTGAGATTGCCCCGTGGTGGCGTGAGATTGCCCCGTGGTGGCGTGAGATTGCCTCGTGGTGACGTGAGATTGCCCCGTGATGGCGTAAGATTGCCGAGTGGTGGCGTGAGATTGCCTCTTGGTGACGTGAGATTGCCTCGTGGTGGCGTGATATTGCCTCGTGGTGGCGTGATATTGCCTCGTGGTGACGTGAGATTGCCTCGTGGTGGCGTGAGATTGCCCCGTGGTGGCGTGAGATTGCCCCGTGGTGGCGTGAGATTGCCCCGTGGTGACGTGAGATTGCCCCGTGGTGACGTGAGATTGCCCCGTGGTGACGTGAGATTGCCCCGTGGTGACGTGAGATTGCCTCGTGGTCACGTGCGATCGCCTAGTGGCTGACATCGCACTGCAGACCACGTGACTCCAGTCGCCGTGATCCACCGTCTCACGCCTTTTCCATCAAGCTGCCAGACGCGTGGGAGGCGACAGTTTGGGAAACGCTGATCTCCAGCCAGGTTGTTTCTGGGATTTTATCGGGTATATAAAGCCATAGAGAAGCCGAAGGGGCACAATCTGTTTGCGTATTTCCAAATAATTATTTTTTGTTCTGGTTCATGTCTCGACATTTTGGGAAAGCCTTTGATGAGTTTTGTCCAGTTTTCAAAAGAGTAAAGGGCTTTATGGCAACACAACTTTACATCACAATTGTGTTCCTTTTGGATAATAGTTACACGCAGACATTGAGCCCCACCCCATTACAGGCAGAGACACGGACGGAGGAACACAGCTGATCCATCAACGCTTTCAACCTTGGTTCAAATCATTCAAAACTGTGATTTTTTTTTCCAGTTTCACTTTGATGTCCGTTTAGTTTAGTGTCTCCCCAGGTCGCCTGAGCGAGCTTTGGCAATGACACGTTACAGGGTCATAAGCTCCAGTTCGAAAGATAAATCACATTCCGCAGGCCCTGTTGTGTGTGGCGAGACCTCGCTCTCCAAACAGACCCACAGAGCACGGGGGTGTGTGGGTGGGGTGTGTGGGGTGTGTGGGTGAGAGCGGGGTGGGTGTGTGGGGTGTATGGGTGAGAGTCGGGTGGGTGGGTGGGGTGTGTGAGTGAGAGCGGGGTGGGTTGTGGGTGGGTGGGGTGTGTGGGTGAGAGCGGGGTGGGTGGGTGGGGTGTGTGGGTGAGAGCGGGGTGGGTTGTGGGTGGGTGAGAGCAGGGTGGGGTGTGTGGGTGAGAGGGGGTGTGTGGGTGAGAGCGGGTGGGTGGGGTGTGTAGTTGAGAGCGGGGTGTGTGGGGTGTGTGGGTGAGAGCGGGGTGGGTGTGTGGGGTGTGTGGGTGAGAACCGGGTGGGGTGTGTGGGTGAGTGGGGTGTGTGGGTGAGAACCGGGTGGGGTGTGTGGGTGAGTGGGGTGTGTGGGTGAGAGCGGGGTGGGTGTGTGGGTGAGAGCGGGGTGGGTGTGTGGGTGGGTGTGTGGGTGAGAACCGGGTGGGGTGTGTGGGTGAGATAGTTCATAGTTCATAGTTCCATTTATTTGGTATAGCCCTGTGAGCCATTCGGCTCTTGAATCGGGTCCAACCTCAACAAACAAAAAACATGAACAAGAAAACAACTTAAAGTGACGATGTGACTGTGCAAACAGAAAATCCAGGAAAAAAACAGCAAAAATATTCCTGAAATAGCACCGTACACCAACGCTGTGTGCAAAAAATCCCAGTAAGATGCAAGTCAAACAACAACAATACAACTTAGATTAAGGCCATCAGTCTAACTCCGTACTGCAATAAATAAAAACATGGCCAAACCAAAAAACTTTTCGAAATTACCTAAATAAAGCCATAAATGCAATGTAACAGTGATCATAGGGACTGTGACCGAATTTTTAACAATAAACTACATAAATAACATGTAACACCAAACCCTGTAGCCATAGCTGGCTGCATGAGTCACTCCACAACAACAGGAACATCAGTCGGAGAATCACATTTTTCAATGCTCCTTTAAGATCATCACACTAAATGAAAATACAGTTAATACTTTGCAGCGGTCATCTGGAGCGAAACATTTTATTTTATTTTAGGCCACTGAATAGCAGTGGCAGCTAGGGGTGTACAACTCCTCTAGAGCAGTTTTGAGTGAAGATCTCATAGGTAGTGATTCAAGTTGCAGTTTATTGGCAATAGCATTCCAGACCCTGGCGGAATCAATAGCAAAGGCCCTTCCTCCAGTTTTTGTACGGCAATAGGGAATGTGAAGCTGGTAAATGAGCGAAGACCTGAGGTCAAATTTGTTCTTTGAAACAGAGAGGAGATCCAGCAGGTAGTCTGCAGATTTTTTTGTAAGTACATCGTGAATAAATAAGATCTGGTGAATAAATAAGATGTGTGGGGGAGAGCCGGGTGGGTGTGTGGGTGAGAGCCGGGTGGGTGGGGTGTGTGGGGGAGAGCCGGGTGGGGGTGTGGATGAGAGCCGGGTGGGTGGGGTGTGTGGGTGAGAGCGGGGTGGGTGGGGTGTGTGGGTGAGAGCCGGGTGGGTGGGGTGTGTGGGTGAGAGCCGGGTGGGTGTGTGGGTGAGAGCCGGGTGGGTAGGGTGTGTGGGAGAGCGGGGTTGGTGTGTGGGTGAGGAGCGGGGTGGGTTAGAGGGCACTATTTTGTATTTACCTTGGGCTGAGCTTCCCAGCACTGCCGCATGAGGATGGCGAAGCTGGCGGGACAGCTGCTGGGGATGGTCGGTCTCTGATTACAATATCGGAAAGGCAGGAACACCCACGCAATGACACAGAGGCACATGGACATCGCAGAGAGACACACGCATGGATACACACATGTACATACAAAGACAAAAGTTCCCGTGTATTGCTTTAACAGACTGTTGGGGCAAGTGCTGTTCGCCGATAAGAACACAGACATGCACATACTGTACAGATTTACGGACACAGACTAATACACAGACATACATACACATACAGAGATACACACATATACATGCACATATGTAAATATATAAATACGTGCATATATACACACAAAGGCACGTAAATTCAAATACAGTGTAACAAAGACAGAGATCCCCTGTGTAGCCTTAACAGACTGTTTGCGCAAGTGCTGTTAACGAGTAGCACCTATGAAAGCCTCTGGCACACGAGGGGTAGGGCGGCCAGCAACCACACCCGGCCGCCTTTGTCTCCCTAGTGGGGATGTTTGCACACTGCACCAGGTACTAATTTGAGGCTATTTTGAAATGTACCTATTTAATTCACTATGTAACACGATTTTTGTCCCTGGGTAGTGTTATTTTCTAATTGCTTATGCCTCAAAAGTATAGAAAATGGCTGTTATTCCCCACAAACTTTGCTTTTGTGACCAGGACTTAATGTGAAGGAATGACAAAAAATGCACACCACGTTTTCTCATTGAACATAGGTAAAAAAAAATAATATTACTATTCTGGTCACAAAAGCAAAGTTTGTGGGGAATAATAGCCATTTCCCATAATTTTTAGTCATGAGCAATTAGAAAATCACACTTAGTACCCAGGAACAAAAATCGCGTTACATAGTGATGTACGCGGCGTTGTCCGTGAAAGTGATTGGCATCCACCAGGGACAGCCTCCTTGATCATGGCCCTGTCTCAACAGTGTGAGACCAACGAACGCCAACAGGTGAACGGTAACAAAAGGAATACAAATATCAGAGCATGAACATCTCGGGTTGAGCAAGTTACACCTACGGGACAATGTTTGCCATTAGCCTTGGACGGACCGCTGGGGGCAGGTGCTGTCAGCGAGCACCTGCCGAGGCCCGGCAGGTGCACGAGGAGCTGTGGCCAGCACCACGCCAGGCCTCCTCCGTTGAACGTGAAGGGTCATGCGGGAGCTACAGATCACTGGCGTACGACCAGGACGCCTTGTAGATTTTGACCTTTGCCATGTGCACCGCCGTGCCTAGAAAAGCCGTGTAGAATTGGAGATTGGATAGAGAGGGATAGATCTGGACACACACAGGTCTTTGGACTCTGTGATGTCACCACCAATAAGGATTTCAATCCAAGCAACAGAATCGAGTGCCTAGAAAAGCAAAATGAGATGTGTGTGTAATATCTATACAAAGATGTTACCCACTATAATTATTTGGTGTTGGAAGTGGTTGTGCAGGCACAAATAATAAAACGAAATTCAAGACATTCGTTGTTAACACTTTGACCGTTAAATTACATAATAGGCAACATATGGGGGGCAATGGTTCCTTCTTCACAGCACCGTAAGTAATATTTAACTTGCCTTGCAATGGACCATGCACTGCAACTTGGAGGCAAGATAAAAGGTAAACTGGGAACAAGCTATTAGAACTCACGATTTGAAAAAAAATATTCTGTAAAGTCACGAAAATCTTGACGGTGGATAGACATTTAAAATATTTCTGTAGCCAATACAATGATGCAGTATATTTATGCCAACATTTGTGGTCCAAACCCGAGAACAGAATTGGGATCGGAGGCGAAAATGCACAGTACACCTTGTAAAACCATTCAAGTCGGAGCGAGAATAGAGCACAGATGACACGTCAGAGTACACACGTGTACGTACTCTCACTGGCTAATGCACAGATGCACTCAGGCACGTGCTTATCGGTCTTGTCGAGAGTTCCAGCCGCAGCTGAAAATAGCGCCGCCGGTCGCTGTATCTTCGGCGATGGAACGCCTCGGATTTCCACATCGTGCTTAGAGAGGCGCTCAATAATAGCAGTGCCCCACCGGCCTGCAGAGATGAAATGTGACCATCCTACCAAATCCGATGACACGTGTTCCGGGCGGTGGATTAGCGATTCGCGGTGCGAGCGTATGCTGGCGTTATCACCAATCCACGCAGTGGTCACATTTACTTTAAAATGTGAAATGTGACGGCCCCTTTCTCGGTCTTACTGCTGGATGAAAGCTACCCCACGCCGTGTTGGTTTATTTGTGGGGATTGTTTCGTCATACTTCACCACGCTGGTCAGCGCGGGTTGGCGATGGAGATGGCGGCCATGAACGGCGCACAAATCACTCGCCACTGATGCAACATCCGTGGGCGAGAGTTGAACTCGGGTCAGGATGAAAATCTTTATTTATACCGTAGGAATTCCGAAATCACAAAAAACAAATAAACTATTTTTTTTTATTTTACCAGGTCAAGCCCACTGAGCTATTTAGCTGCTTTCTCAGAAGCGACCTGGCCACAAATGACAGCTCAACGAAAGTGGCTTATCACGTGGAGCTCCCAGAGCGTTTGATCAAAATTGCCGGACTATCGTATGCAAGAACAAGGGGCGCGACAATGAAACGATGCGTACCCACAACACGTACATACAAAGGAACCGCTAAAGTAATAATCTATTAAAATAAAACTTATTTTTACCGTGTAAGGCCTACTGAGCTATACAGCTTATTTTTCAGAAGCGACCTGGCCACAAATGATCGCTCAACGAAGAGGCTTATCATCATCGCGTGGAAATTCAGAGCGCAGTTTTCTAACCACCGGTCCCACCCCTCGTCCCTCCGACACGAATTGGTTGTCGTGGCCATCTCAAATTCGACACACAACGTTCCGTGATTGCTTTTTACGCACTGAAATCCATTTCCATCAAATGTGTGTTTGTGTAAAAGGCTCATTGATTCGCACAAGGTAGCGAATCTAGTTTTCCAACGTAAGCTACGGTCTAGCATATTCCATTTGGGAGAGTCGCACAACACCAGAAGGAATGCGAATTATGCCAGTTTCCATTCGCTTGCTGCACGGTTCTTGTTTATCCGGATACATACATTGCATAAGCACTTGCAGTGGAAACACAGCCTCCGTGTGTGTGTGTGTGTTTATCTTAAAGGCAAATTAAAAGACTTGTAAACTCCTGAAAATTTGCCTCCGAAAAAATCACTGTAAACACGCCCCACTACCCCACCGACTCTCAGAAGCTAGGCAGGGCCCGGTCTGGTTAGCAGTGGCGTCACGAGCACGAGGGCAGGGGGAGCCTTGCCCCCACCGCCCCCCCACTGGTGGCCAAAGCTACGAGTTGGGATCGCCTTGATAACCAACCATGAGATATGTTTTCAACAACAGTGTAATAGAACGAAAACTTATTCAAAATGCGGTTAAAATGTTTTCAATTCCAATTCTTAATGATGCGATTCGGCAAGAGGAGCCGCGATTATTTAAGAGACAAATCAAATATTGGGGCCCCACCTGACCAATTGCCGCACCCCCCCTGAGCTGATCATGCAGTCACAGCACTGCTGGTGAGCACTTGGGTGGGTGACCACCAGGTAAGGCCAGGTGTTGTGGGCGTGGGACCGTGAGTAGATGGCAGTGCTCGCTGTCACACCCCCACGTGTGTTCGTTTTTTCCTAGTTTTTGCCCACATGCCAAACGTTCATTAGTCGAATTTAGCAAACACGCCAATGCAGGACCCTTACGAAATGTCTGAGGCACGTGGCGCAGCCGCCACAGCCTGCACGCTGGCTAGCTGGCAAACGCCAGCGCAGGTGGAAATCCCTAAATTTTTCCCAGGGGCTCGAAAGCGTCGATTTTGGCGTGCACCGGAATTCAGCGGCGTGGGTCGTGCAAAGACTTGCCTCGTTCTTCTCGACAACGAGCCAGGCCACCTGCAGCCCCTCGAAGCCCTTGAAGGGCACCTCGCGCGTCAGCATCTCCCACAGGACCTGCGCCGTCCCGGGACGTAGATGAGAGACGTGGTCAAACAACAACAATAACATTCATAATAACAACAATAACATTCATAATAACAACAATAAAAACAAACGACGTCCTCGCCAGTCTCGTGAGTTGGGCAGCGAAACGTCGGCGCTGGGCACGGTGGCACACGCCTGTCATTCGTCGTCGTCACCATCGGCATCATTATATTTCAGTTATTTTCATTATTAATTTTGAGCCCAAAGACTTCATCAGTCGTCGTCTTCATCATCTTCATCATCATCATCATCTCGTGGATGGGCAGTTTCACAAATTAGGCAGCCGTGACCTCGGCACCGAGCGTCGTGGCGCACGCCAGAAGTTTATCGTCGTCAAAGTATCCAGGCTTAACTTCATCGTGCTAATCATAGGCATGGCGGTGCGGCTTCATCTCTACCACTGCGGACGTATCCTCAGATCCGCTGTGCAGCTCTCTGCCAATGCACTTGCAGTTTGTGACGCGTGTTGTTCGGCATGACGTCCGACGTTTCGCTGCTTAGAAATGGGAACCGAACATTAATTTGTGACGTACACCGCCTAGCGATGTGTACGGGTACAGCCCCCTTTGTCCAGCCACTGCGGGATGGGGGAGGGGGGGGGTCCTCCCAACGCCACGTGACACGTTGGGACTATTCGATCCTCTCGAGGAATCACTATATTTAGTTCCTGCGGAAGCTCCCAGGACACGGAGCGAAACGTCGGACATCGTGCCGAACACCACGCGGCACACGTGGGAGCAGTTCTATTGCTAGAATCCACGGCAAGACCGAAACCAACGCGGGAGAGGGCGGGAGGGGGGGGGTGGGGGGATGGCAACTGACCACTCCGAACGAGTAGGTGTCGCACGTCTCGGAGATGGGCTGGCTCTGGATGACCTCGGGAGCCATCCACGGGAAGGTGCCCACCATCGTCATGTTGGTCGTGTGCCCGTGAAACCGTGACGCGCCAAAGTCGCAGATCTGCCGGAGGAGGCGGAGGCGGTTGGGGAAGACGTAGAAAAAGATCGGGGTGGGACGAGACCGGGGATGGAGGGGAACCTCCCTCGAAACGAATGCGTGCATTGTTGTGTGGCAGGCAAGCTCGCTCTTTTAATCACGTAGAGACGGTTGACTAGACAGTAGTTGAATCTAAGTTCGTACAAAAAGCACAGCCCAATTGTCAGTCCACTGCTGGATGGGGGCCTCCCGATGCCGTGCGGGTCCCGGGGAGTTTTCGACCGTCCTGCACGGCGCTGTTGGGTGAGCGTCGGTGAAGTCGGGGAACATAGACCCGGCAGTATAGGAGTGCAGTACAACGACGAGTTTTGCTGCACTGTTTTCTACCGCTCACCTGGTGAACAATGATGGCAATGTCTTGCTCTCTCCTGTTCCATGTGAAAATTGACGGATGTTTATCGGAACGTGGACCAAAAATTCTTAACCGACCTGGTCGGAAACTGAACATCGGCGTGTTTTTTTTGTTGTTGTACCACAATGGCGAATGTAGTGGCCTCGCGTGGTTGCGGGTGGTTACATGAACACGGTGACATGTATACGGATAGAAGAATGTGGATTCTTCCATACGACTCGATGCGTGTATCATGAGCCAAGAGAATCCATACTCATCGACGATTTGATCGATGTAACAACGTTTTAAAAGCGTTGGACGCCAGTCGGTGGCTCACTTTTAGTGTGTTGTCCGACGTGATCAAAACTGCAAAGGGAGAACAAAAAGATGCGGAGGTTTATTCCCCGTTGCAGGTCAAATTTCCGAAGCACATTTCTGGATCATTTCACACTTAAACCCGAGTGTAATCTATTGCCTATCGAAAGTAAGCAAAAAACAATCGCATTTCATCACGGTAAGTTTGATCACCTGACCAAGTTGACTTATTTATACTCTTTTTGATTCTTTCGGTAAAGTGACGTAGGTATAAAATAAAATACAATTATTTTGGCATACAAACTTTGTGGACATCTCACTTGTTAAAAATACATATTCTACAAGGAATAAGACAACCGGGTTGTCTTTCTGTCGAATGGAAACCCGCAGGGTCTCATTAATTTGCATCGATTAAATTTTCTGAAACGTGATAAACAATCCCATGTTTGAGATTTATTAATTGTCTACAATAAAAATGATGATGGGTTGATGACGATTAATGTAATATGATATGATGACTGTTGATGACAATATTATTGATTATGGAGATGACTGAATAATCGATGATGATTAGATCATTGATTATGATTGATTATCATCACTGTATGATAATTTAAACGATGAATGGATGATGATCATAATTACATACTCTTTGGTTCTTTCGCTAAAGTCACGTAGGTGGGAAAGCTTTCCCACCTGATGATGGACGCTTGTGTTGCGCCCGAAACGTCGTGATTTATTTTATTTTATACTTAAGTGACTTTACCGAAAGAACCAAAGAGTAGGGGATTCCTGCAGTCACGAAAGCTTCAAATCAAGATTGATCATAATTATGTCTGATAGTCGCTTGCATTGTCTCTTACCATTTCTCGACTTCAAATCGCGATGTATTACTTTGACCGGTGCCTCGGTGTGAAGGTAATTCATTCCTTCGGTGATACAAAAAAAAACCCAAATTACAAAAAAATCACAAATGAGAAAAGTTCATACTGTACAGTATTTGCAGTTCAAACCCATCCCAGCAACAGCTGTCACAGTCGCGTGCATCATCCATTAGTTTACTAAATGCTGTTTATGTTTTGAGCCGAGGTATTAAATGTGATTGTCCATAGCCCTTTGCTGCTCGATGATCGCCTCCCCACGCCATGCGGGTAGTGGGGCTTATGCGAGCATACTTCACTACGCTGGTCAGTGTGGGTCGGTGAAGGTGGGCGGTGTGGATGTGGAAGACTACATGTGGGGAGCGTGAGCTTATTTACGTGTGTACACTTCATCAGGAGGCCTCTGTGTGCCGGTGTGATGGCCCAAAAAAAAAACAAATTCCAAGTATTGCCCGCTGATGGCTCAATTACTTGGGACACTTTGTGAGGACCTCTGGACTAGAGGAATCGGTCTCGCTTGGGAATGGAGAAGGTAGCAGGGGCAGAGGTCGACCTGGGAGGAGGTGGATGGACGGCATCAAGAACACCGCTGGTCTCGCGCTAACCCAGCTGCGAGAGGCAGCGAGAGACGGGCGGTCTGGGTGGCGGAGTCTGGTCGTGGATGTCACCAGAGGTCGAACGCCACCTGACGGCACGAGGCTAATGACTCGATTGGGATTACCCAGCAGCCTTCATCGCCCCCTGCTGGCAGACTAATACCCTTTGCAGGTCGGCGTGGAGCCACCTTGTGCCGCACAGGGACGCTGCCACTGGGGGTGCCCTTCGAATGTGCGAGGATGTGATGCAAGGTGCTTTGAGTTGCCGAGGCATTTAAGTGCAATATAAATGCAATTTTTGTAAAAATATAAATATATAAAAAAATCGAATATGCATTTGGCTGAGTGGCACCATAGTTATTGCATTGGACAGCCTGTGAAACAGTATTTATTGCTGTAGTTGGTGTAGTTTTATGTGTCACTGTAGTTTATATAATCATGCTGTGTGTGGCTGTAATTGGTGTAGTTGTATATGTCACGTAGTTAATCCTGTGTGTGGCTGTAATTGGTGTAGTTGTATATGTCACATAGTCAATGCTGTGTGTGGCTGTAATTGGTGTAGTTGTATATGTCACGTAGTCAATGCTGTGTGTGGCTGTAATTGGTGTAGTAGTATGTGTACTGTAGTTCATGCTGTGTATGGCTGTAGAGGTGATTGCTGTAGCTGTGTAGACCTTGGAGATCGGTTCTCGGTTCTTTCCCGTGCGTGTTTGTCCGTCTCGTGCTGGCTGGGGCCTCACCTTTAGCAATGTCCATCGCCCAGGGCAGCACTTGGTCGATGTCCATGTCATCGCTCTCGTCCCCGCACAGGTAGTCGTAGAGCGACCCTCGACACGCGAATTCTAGAGGCGAGAAAGAAGAAAAAAAGCTCGCGTGGAGATCACAGACGGTCACGGCGAAATAAATTGCAGCCGAGCTCCTCTTACGCGCAATCCCTATTACCCGTGGCGTCCGCTATCTGTGGCCTCAGTCGATCCCATGGGAAATCCCATAAACCGCTGGTGGATTCTGCAAGCTTCGTTATTTTTTGAATGACTGCGAGGAGCGACCCAGAAGTGGCAGAATTTAGTTTTTGTTATGGCCGCACCAATGAGTCCCGGGAGCAGCCAGGGCAGTCAGGAGTGAAACTGGGGCCAAACAACAACAACAACAATAATGTTTATGAATGCAATGTCCAGATGCAACCGCGTTTCAAGATGCTTTACAAAAGTGAGGGACAACCTGAGGGAAGATGGTGAAATGGGAAGCGGGGGGGGGGAAGAGGGCCGTGACCCATAGGAGAGAGCAATTCAGCGGAAATGGCCCAAGGTCAACGAGGTCACACAGAGGGCTACGGAGCAACCGAGCGGCCCAACGAGGCCCAGGGCTTTTCCGGGGGACTGGGGCTCATCGCCATTTGAGCCCCAGGGGCAGCCGAGGCAGTAGCAATGATTCCCAGGGGCATTGTCGGAAGCGTCAGGGCTCGTCAGCTCCGAGTCATCCTATTCTGTGCATTCTTTCACGGACGGAACGCGTCCAGGATCGGTCTTCTTGTGGCACCTGATCGATCCAATTGTCCACGCCGTGTTGCGGATAAGAGAAGTTGCCAAGAAGTGGTGGGAAATTCACCACGTTATCCACATCCTTCCATGGATAACCGATAGACTCGCATATTAGGATTGTCAATAGCGTTCCCAATATCGACACGGATTAGAGAGGTTTGACTGTAAAATTGTCACGAACAATCTCATACATTTTGTAATGGTCATTCACTTCTCTTGCAAAGCCTCATCCGAGTCTCAGGAATCATTTTACGGGAGGTGCTCTGCTAGCGGTGTCTCGCCAAACGCTTGAACATGAGGATGAATGCCACAATCCACCAATACCAAGAGAAAGAAACGGTCAGCTTTGAAGAGCAGTCGTCGATTCTATTTCCGCTTACACACGTGGCGTTTTTCTTGGACGAAATCTGCCACTCAAAGTGCCAAGATGATACAGAGACCAGCAACCGACTCGCATTGGATTGGAGCGTTTTTGACGAATTTCGTTTTTTCTTTCTCCTGAGTGCTTTCCGTGTGGGAGTAAAACGGAGCGCGTCTGGAGAAACCCCAACGCCTCGAGGGGGTAACACCAAAACTAATCCGCACAGATGGGATGGTACGCCTTATCCGCACCTAATGGCCGGTTTGGGACGACCTCTCTCACTGCAGGATCTTCCTGCGTTAAAGATTAGAGACTCGGGGTGAGGCTTGAGAGGAAAAGTTTCTAGCACTGCCAGTACCGCAGTATAAATAACAAAAACAAATTCGGCCAATGTTGTCAAATACTGGTTGTGCTATGACGAGACTGGCTCCTACCATGGGAACGTGGAATTAGTTTCAGCTTCCAGAGGAGATGGGCACTGCCCCGATATATTTTTGAGCACGCACATATGGGGCCATGTTTGGTTCACGTTGTGACGATTCAATTGAATTGGTTGTTTCCTGTACTTTGTAAGATTGGGATACCGTTGTTACGGTGTGTATCAATGGGGAGCGGTAATGCAGCAGTTAGCGCGCTGCGCTAGGAACCCGGCGAACTGGGTTTGATTCACGCTCAAAGCCAGCAACACCGGTGATGCTTATCTGAACCGGTCCTTGGACTCCCTATGTCGACTCAGCCTCAAATGAGTGCCTGGTGCGGTGTGTAAACATCGCCACTGGGGAGACAATGGCGGATGGGCGTGGTGCCTGCCACATCACCTCCTCGTGTGCCGTGCCGGCCTTCGTAGGTGCTCGCTAACAGCACTTGTTCCAAACGTCTGCTAAGGCTATACGGGAAATCTTTGTCTGTTTATCTATGTGTGCATTTGTGGAGAGGTGGTACGCAGTTCTTAGCAACCTGCCTCATGAACCCGGCCACCTGAGTTCAATTCCTGGCCCCGGCTAACATCAGGAGGCGAGCGATGTCTGGCCCAGAGCGAGCAGGGGCCATCAACGCCGCCCGATGCTCGGTGGCGCAAGGGGGGAGCCTCTCGAAATGCAACTTTGAGACTCGACGCAGATGGAAGCAAAAGCTCTCCGAGAGAGTGGCGAGAGGGAGAGGCGAGAGAGAGAGAGAGAGGCGAGATCCCTTGTGCGGTCTCTCGATGTTGGCACGGGATGATCATTGAGCAAGAATGCACTGTAGCCTTGAGAGGACGTCCCTCTTGAGGGACCCACATCGAGGCTTATCATCTGCCGGGGCACGGCATTTGCCCGGTTAATCCACGGGCGCCGCCAAAACACTGCCACGACTTGTCTGGAAAAAAAAACCCGTTGCCAACGGCGACCCGGCCAAATTGCGGTCTTTAATTCCAAAACAGTGCAGAGAAATTTCCATGGTTCAACAAATGTTGGTGCTGTGATTTCAAAAAAAAAATACATTTTTGGAATTTGAACGTTGTTTTAATTATTTCTTGCTTTTGTGACGGCCGGCGCAAAAACAAATTTTCGTCGTCACAAAATGTTTAATTCCAATGCACGTTTTGTCGTGTCGTTCTCAGGGAGCGCATGAACTGTGAAATAATGTTGCGCACAGCACCAGATGTGTTTGTTGGTGGCAACTATGGCAACGGCATCTGTGCGGGCGCTTAAAAGTTAAGTGTTTTAAAAATGTGAGACTCTTTTTTTGATTAATAACACACTTTTTTTTCAAAGTGAGTTTTTTTTGTAACCAGCTAAAAATAAAAATAGAACCCCTTCGGCCTATTTTTGTTATCCGACCACCCATTTAAATGTTGTATATTTTAAATGGATTTGCTCCTGAATGTTTAACACGTAGGCTTTCGTGACCAATATTATTCATAATAAAGGTTTTTGGGTTAGATCGCGTTAGTTATAAATGTGTCGTAACCCTCCACCACCCGACACGGCCAAACAGTAAAGAACGTGACACATTTTTTACTGTTTGACCGTGTCGGGTGGTGGAGGGTTCCTCCTGAATGTTGGGACTAAGCGGGCAAAAGAGGGCATTTCACGGTGTGTTTGTTTATTTGTTTGGGGAACATTTTTTTTTTTTTAAAAGAAAAGCGGGGCCTCTCAATCGGACTCATTGTCGACTTGCGCCATTAGCGGCAATGGCATTCGCCACACGGACACAAATACATTTCCCTGCTGACATTCAACACTCGCAGGAGCGCGCGGGGATCATAAGCTGGGTACAGATTGAGCAGCTCGGCCTGTCGCAGTCATACAAGACTCATCGCCTCCTCCCCTGCCCCCACCTGCCGAGGACACGGCCACCCATCCCTTTTCATTGCAAGTTTCGTTTCGAATATGCGGACCGTCCGCAAAAAGTTTGAGATGGCTGGACGACGAAATGCGGAATGTGTTCAATTCGGCGATGGGGGTAGGGGAGGGGAGTTTCCGCATCCTCTCCTCGTGTGCACGGGGGTTCTTGACGGCTGCAGAAGAATGGACGATGGAACAAAAGCAGATCTTGCCATTTGCTCAATTACGTTTAGCGTTTAACTTTTGTTTAAAAGTTTATTTAACATATCGCCACCCCTACCCCCTTTAAACAAGGTCGCGCTGCACGGTTGACCTGAATCGATGAAACAAATATGCAATTTTAAGACGGTAGCAATGTCTGGATTGATTCAGAAGTAATATACAATTAATAATGCAGCTGTATCTCCGACGACGAATCGTAATGTCATTTGTTTACCCAGGAAAGCCTTACTGGTGAAATGCGCCTTCTACCCATGAAATTCACCTTATAAATGGGGTGATTATTATTATTCACCGAGTCTTAAGACTCTTTTTTTTCAGGAGAGTTCTTGCCTTGGGATGCTTGGTACAATTCCATGAATGTGTTATAATTAAGACGCTGTACTAAAGCAGGAAATGTGCACAGCGAGGAAACCACTGGAAACAGGGAGGTTGTGTATTTCAATGTTTAAGCCACTTTGTAGATAGGAGGCAGTCGGTCACAGGCAAAGGAAGAGGGATTTCTTGAGCTCCCCTCGGAGAAGGGTGGCCAGGGGCAAGGCAAGCTGAGTTCAGACCGTGCTGGTAGCCTTGGCAAAGCGCGACCTCCCATTTGAGTGGAGGTCAACGGAGGGTTGTGGAGCGGCGAGCGATGTGAGAGGGAGTCAAGTGTGATGACAAGAGGGGAGAGGTAGATGGCTTCCTGCTCGGTGATGGTGGCCTCGTGTCTCCTCCCTCAGATTCCGTGGCCAAGTAGGGTCCCAAATAACTCGGTTTAGAAGTGGATGGAGGAGGCAGTGGCATAGCTTGGAATCAGAATATGTATTTATACTGGAGGAATCCGATGAGCTATAAAGCTCTTTTTCACAGATGTCCGGTAGGGGCGGAGCAGAACGTTATAACAAACAGTACAAAACACGACAGGAGCGAAAAGCAAGTCACAAAAATATACAAATAAAACTAAGCTATTTTATTTGTCCATATAAAGCCAACTAAGCTATTGCGCTTCTTTTTCAGAAGCGACCTGGCCACAAATGATACCGCAATGAAGTGGCTTATCACGTGGACATTTATAGCAGCCAAACAATCTAAACGCGTGTTTCTAAATGTGGTGCAACTGCACCGGGGCCCACGGGATGGCGGGGTCCAGGTAGCCGGGCTACTGAGAGTGGAGGGAATTGGACATGGAACAGGGGGCCTTGGTTTATTCCTTGCATGAGGCACATTGGTTCTCTGCTCTCTGCCACTGGCCGTTAGAACTCCCATTGGAGCAGTGGTTCTCGACCTGGGGTGCACGCACCGATCAGGGGTGCGAGATGCCCTTTGTGGGGGTTGCGAGACATGCTACATTTCTTTAGAAGGTAAATCAACAACAACGCAAATTAAGCATGGGTACGTAAAGTACAACTACTTCG